CGCCTTTCCGTAATAATGGCAATGACAAAAAGAAAATAATGAGTAAGACGTAATATTCGGGCCTTTAGATAAACGTTTGGTTGGATTTTCCATTTTTTTACAAGATACTTATACCAAAGCTTATTTCATATACGAATCTAAAGATTATTATTATTATTATTAGGATATATTAAAGTTTTTACAAATCTTTACTCCAAAGCTTATTTCATATACGAATCCAAAGATTATTGTTTTATTATTATTATTATTACTATTATTATTATTATTATTATTGGTGTTGTTGTTGTTAGGATATATTTTTAAAAACCTTATTATTATTATTATTATTATTGTCATTGGGATGTATTAAACGTTTTTAGAAACCTTTACTCCAAAGCTTGTTTCATGTCCGAATCCAAAAACCATTCTTACGCTGCTATTATTATTATTATTATTATTAGTAGTAGTAGTAGTAGTAGTAGTATTGTTGTTGTTGCTACTATGATTTATCTTTACAAACATTATTATAATTATTACTATTATTATTATTATTGGGATGTATTAAATGTTTTTAAAAACATTATTATTATATATCAAACATTTTTACAAACTTTTACTCAAAAGCTTATTTCTAAGACAAATATATCCATTTTCATCTGAAATGTACGTTTATTATTTTATATACAAATACAAAACTATTGCTCCGCTTTTAATATATTACCATTATTATTGTTATTGTTGTTGTTATTATTATTATTATTATTACTTCCTTTGATTTCTGTTGTATACAAATTTCCTTCCGAGTCCCAACTAGAGATCTAAGGTTAGAAATGGCTTCGTGATATTTTCCACAAAAATTTGCAAAAAAAAACAAAAAACAAAAAAAACACTAAGATCACAGACGTTTTACATAGATAAAACTTTTCATAATGCGTGGGCTGTACTTGTGAGTACAATGTTTTGTATTTCTTTAAGCCATGGACTCCAAATGAATCCCTCAATGAGTTTATCGGAACATTTCCCAATCAATCCGAGGGTTTCAACTACAACTGGAGTTACTGATGTCCTCATGTGCGACATTTGTTGAGATTTCCACTTAAAGATTCTGGTATTTTGATAATTTTTTTTGAAGATCTTCAAAGCTACATTAAAATCTGCAGTGATTGCCATGTCAATAAGAAGGCACATCCTCTTCTTGTAGTCTTTGATCGCGATGTCTCAACGATTAGAATTGATTGTTCTGTGTATTGTAAAGTCCCATAAAATTGTTACAGGTCCTATCTCATTTAACCGGGTTTGGATTATATTTATCACAGTTTCTTGCGATTTCCTTCCTGTAAAAGTTGCATATTTTCCAGTGCAGATATTGACCCGCTCTGTCATGTTAAGTTTTTATATTCAATTGGTTCTAACACTGTGCAACTTGATCAATTGTTTTTGGATATTTATCCCAGAATCTGTATTTGGGATCAACCCAATTTTTTCAGTACGCGTGCTTGGTAATTTCTAGTTAGCGAGCATTGGTTCTGTGCAGCAAGCATAAAACCATCGGTTTCAGCTTTTATTTCTACACTACCTAACCACTGATGAGTACGGGCTTTGTCTACATCAACTTGTTTGGTACGGGCAGAGTATTGACCATGAAGGAGGCTTATGTTTCGTATCTGCATATGGTACATTGCATGGTAAATTAGCTTTTTAACGCCTGCGTTAAATATCTCTTAAGATAATCCCAAATCGTCATAATTCCGTGTAAATGTACATGCTGAACTCAAATTAACAATTAAATTATGAAGAAACTTAACGTTTTGGAGTTATCGACAAGAAAAAATCGGATTTCTTGTTGGTCATTCGTCCGCCATTACTGCCATAATGTTCACAAACAGTGCGGGGTACTTCCGTTGGCGTAAGCATAAACGGTAGGTTTTTTTATAATTTAATTGTTAATTTGAGTTCAGCATGTACATTTACATGGAATCGTGACGATTTGGGAAAATTTTAATAGATATTTGGCGCGAGCGTTAAAAAGCAAATTTACCCATTGCATTTGCTTTCTTTTTTTGGTTACTTTTACGCTACAGCAGATGTACAATGGTTTATCTGCACTCATTTGAAATTCCCTTTTGAATTTGTTGGCTTCCTTTATTACTGAATAAAGTTTCTTATTTCTTTCATGTTCTTTGACACAGACCATCATCCAGTCTTCTGTAGTTTCCAGGTATCTTTCAAGACCGCTTGCTGTAGTTTTGTAAGACAGTTCTAGTTGAACTAATCCTCTGCCTCCTTCGGATCTGGAAACATACGGACGATCAACCTTATCAGCCTTTATAATGATGCGTGCGGTGGCAAGCAAGAAGCTTTCTCGTTTTAACATTCATTCACTTATTGTCTGCTATGGTCCAATTAAGGATGTTGAAGCTGTATTGCACCACAGGGACAGCCAGAGTATTTATGGCTGATAATCTGTTCTGTGAATTCAACTCGGTATTTAACACCAAACGCACACGACTGTAATATTCCTTTGTTGCTTTCTCCTTTATTTGGGAATGCTGTAGTCCATCTCCTTCGTTGACTCCTAGGTATTTATAAGCTTCTTCTTGATAAGCTTCTTCCAATTCTCTACGCTTTGTGACAAAATCGAGATCTATTGAGGGTGCTTCTATAATTCACATTTCTTGAATGTTACTTTTGCACATTTATCTGATCCGAAGTCCATACCTATGTCGTCACTCAAATATTTTACAATACTGAGGAGAGCATTCAACTCATTGTCGTCTTTAGCAAAGAGTTTAGGATCATCCATGTAGAGTAGGTGATTGAATACTTTCTTGTTTAATTTGTATCTATAGCTATTATCGTTTCTTCTTTTCTTCTTCTACTTCTTCTTTTTCTTTTCTTCTTTTTTCTTCTTCATATTTTTCTTCTTCTTTTTCTTCTTCTTCTCATTTTCTCCTTTTTCTTTTTCTTCTTCTTCTTTTTCTTTTCTTCTTTTTTCTTCATATTTTTCTTCATTTTCGTCTTCTTCTCATTTTCTCCTTTTTCGTTTTCTTTTTCTTCTTCTTCTTTTTCTTTTCTTTTTCTTCTTTTTCTTCTTCTCCTTTTCTCCTTCTTCGTTTTCTTTTTCTTCTTTTCTTCTTCTTTTCTTATTCTTCTTTTTTCTTCTTCTTTTTTCTTCTTCTTTTTTTATTTTGTATCCATAAGGCACGGTGGAGTAATGGATAGCGACTCGGATTGGGGAATCGAAGAGCCGAGTTCGAATTCCACTTAGATCCATTACATTCACATACGTGCTAATATCCTTTGGAAAGGTATGAATCCTCTTCTTCTCCCTCCAGCTATAGATAAATAGTAGGACAAACCGCAGAAAGAAATGGCAACCTATTGCGGGAAAAATATCTGTCTCGTCAGATCGAAACATACATGATCGCTTAAGAGTGTTACACACATGGCACATAACTGATCCATGGTTATTAGAGTTTAGTTCATGTGAAAGGGGGACTAAGGAGAGACAGAGCTGAAGAGTCGATAGAAAGATTGCTCGTCGGATATTCAAACAATTGGATGTTGCAGTACCTTTGGTATGATTTAGGTATAATATGGTTCTACACGGTTCCATGCTATATTTAAAGAAATTTACTATCATCGAGGAGACCTTGCAGATTTGAAAAGCCTTAAGAATCCAGTACGTCTTGTGAGTGTTAAATTCCTCGAGGTGTGTTTCCACCGTATGCGTCCCACATTTTTCAGCTGACTCTTTCTGGTTGTAAATATGAGTTTCCTTGTAGTTCCTATTTACTTTAAGTCTCCTCGTTGCAAATACCCTCGATATCTCTCTCTCTCTCTCTCTCTCTCTCTCTCTCTGAAAGTCTCTTCTTAATCTTCTAGAGAAAAGATAATCCAACATCCGCTGCTATATAGTATATTACATATTACACAGCTGCCCAGCGCTTTTTCTTTGTTTCTGGCATTCAGAGTTTCGTATATCATACTTATTATAAAACCCAGGTGTGTGTGTGTGTGTGTGTGTGTTCGTTTATATATTGGATCGGATTTCCTACATTTTTCAACCGATTTCAACAAAACTTCACAGAACTACGTAAAATTACCTTGCGGTGGTTCTGACAGCGCCAAAAATTGGAAAAACACAATTGTTTTTGCATGAAATCAATTTGAAAACACCATTAAGAAGCATCGCTGTCACGAGAATGAAAGAGGGACAACTCATATCAAGTTATACTTATTATAAAACCAAGGTTGTTTGTGTGTGTGTGTGTGTTCATTTATATATGGGATCGGATTTCCTACATTTTTCAACCGATTTCAACAAAACTTCACTTTCTTTTTGGCAAGTAGTGTTTCTTATTGTCTTGCACACTTTTTTTTCTTTATTTTTACATTCAGAATGCTTTAAAAATTCCATTTACAAGACAAATGTTTATAATAAAATTCTATTCAATCGGTAGACTCATAACGATCGAAAACAATGTTTTTGTTTGAGTTTGGGTTTGACCAATTCATAAAAAAAAAAAAAAAAAACAAAACAAAAAAACTAATTAAGACACGCGTGTCCGTCAACCTTAAACAATAATCTTTGTCAATTTTATTTTTCAGTCTTTATGATGGTCGATACTTGATCTATCTCTTACTGTTACATACCCGGGCAACGCCGGGCTCTACTGCTAATATATATATATATATATATATATATATATTTAAGCATTTCACCCCAAGCAAGGCGGGAAGCCACTAGCACGCAAGGGGTTATCGAGAGGATTTTCGAGGCGTGAGCAGATAGGAGTCATAGAGGAAAGGATGAGGAGAAGGATGAGGAGAAGGATAGTGGGCAGATCAAGGCAACTGGAGATGTCGATTGACATTATGTTAAATAAATGGTGTTTACACCATTCCTCAGTAGAACTATGTATCGCTGTCGCTTCCAATCTCTACATGTCTGTGTATGGCGCTTATGATCACATCTTTATCTATATCTCTATATCTATATCTCTTCCAATTGCTTCTTTATGTCGCTTCTTCATCTCTGTCGCTTCCCCCTCTCTCATTCATCGCTGTCGCTTCCCCTCTCTTTTTCATCTCTATCGCTTCCAATCAATTTTCGTCTTTGTCTCTTTCAATTTCTTTATCTCTGGTGTTTTCAATCAATTTCCTATGTCTATCATTTCCAAAAGTTTGTTGATCTCTGTTATTTTCAGTCTAGTCTTCATCGTCGTTTGGAAAATGACGTTTATCTCTATCGCTTCCAATCTCTTTATCTATGGCGATTAAAATCTCTTCTTCATTTCTGTCGTTTCAAGTCTCCTCTTCATCTCTATCGCTTCCATTCAAATCTTCATATCTGTCGCTTCGAACCTAAACATCATCTCTGTCGATTCCAACCACTTCTCCATCTCTATCGCTAATCCTCTCTTTTTCATCTCTATCGTTTCCAATCTCTTCTACATCTCTGTCGCTTCCAATCAATTTTCGTCTCTGTTTTATTTTCTTTTTCATCTCTGGCGTATTCAATCAACTTCTTTCTATCACTTCCAAACGCTTGTTGATCTCTGTTGCTTTCAATCTGGTCATCATTGTCGCTTGGAAAATCATTTTTGTCTCTTCTTCAACTCATTCGCTTCCACTCACGTCTTTATATATATATATCGCATTAAACCATTTTTTTTTAACTTTGTCGCTTTCAATCGCTTCTTCATCTTCCTATCGCTTCCAATCACATATCCATATATGGCGCTTCCAATCTCTTCTTTATCTGTGTTTCTTCCAAACTCTCCATCATCTCTGTCGCTTCCAAGCTGTCCATCATCTCTGTCGTTTCAAATCTTTCCTTCATCTCTATTGTTTTCAACGACTTCTTCATCTCTATCGCTTTCAATCAATTATTCATGTCTGTCGCTTCCATTCTGACCATCATCTCTGGCGTTTCCGATCTCTTCATCATCTCTATCGCTTCCAACCACTTCGTCTCTATCGCCTTTAAACATTGCTTCATACCTGTTGCTTTCATTCTCTTCTTCTTCTTCTCTATCACTTCCAATGACTTCTTCATATCTGGCGCCTCCAATCTCTTCTTTATCTGTGTCACTTCCAAACTCTCCATCATCTCTGTCGCTTCCAGTCTCTTCTCTATTGTTTCCAATCAATTCTACATCTCTGTCGATTCCAATGTTTTCTTTATCTTTCAGTCTGTTTATGTCTATCTCTTACATTCTTCTTCATCTATTTCGTTTCCAATCTCGTCTCTATCTCTATCGAATCCAACCCCTCAATCATCTCTGTCGCTTCCAAAGTCTTGTTCATCTTTGTTTTTCCCAATCACTTCTCCATCTCTATGGCTTCCAATAACTTCATCGATTCTGTCCCTTCATCTACAATCTCTTCTTCATCTTTATCGCTTCTAACCACTTCCATTATCTTTGTCGCTTCTAACCACTTCTTCATCTCTATCGTCTTTAAATACTTCTTCATACCTGTTGCTTCCAATCTCCTCTTCTTCTTCTTCTTCTTCTTCTTCTTCTTCTATCGCTTCCAATCTCTTATTTCATCTATGTCGCCGAAAATATCGTCTTCATCTCTCTCACTTTCTTTATATATATCACTTCCAATCAGTTCTACCTATCTGTCGTTTCCAAACTTTTCTTCATCTCTATCGCGTCCTATCACTTCCATCATCTCTATCACCTTTAAACACTTCTTCGGACCTGTTGCTTTCATTCTCTCCTTCCCTAACACTGCCACTTAATTCTTCATAACTGTCGCTTCTAAGGTCTCCATCATTGTCGTTTCCAATCTTTTCTTCATCTCTATCGCTTTCAACCAGTTCTTCATCTCTATCACTTCTTCATCTCTACCGCTTCCAACCTCATCATTATCTCTGTCGTTTCCACTATTCTTCATCTCGATCGCATCCAGTCTCTTCTTCATCTTTGTCGCCTAACATCTCTTCATCTCTATCGCCTTTAAATAATTCTTCATATATATCGCTTCCAATCAATCATTCATGTCTGTCGCCTCCAACATTACCATCATCTTTGTCGTTTCCAAACTCCTCTTAATTTCTATCACTTCGTACCACTTCTTCATCTCTATCACCTTTAAACACTTCTTCGTACCTGTTGCTTCCAATCTCTCCTCCTCTATCACTTAATTCTCCTTATTTGTCGCTTCTAAAGTCTCCATCATATGTGTTGTTTCCAATGTTTTCTTCATTTCTGTCGCTTCCAGTCATATCTTCATCTCTATCGATTCCAATCACTTCTTCATAACTGTCGCTTCTAAACACTTCTTCATCTCTATCGCCTTTAAACATTTATTCAAACCTGTTTCTTTCAATCTCTTCTTCTTCTCTATCGCTTCCAAGCCGTTCTTCATCTCTGTCGCTTTCAACCACTTCTTCATCTCTCGCTTCCAATCAATTCTTCATCTCTGTCGCTTCCAATCAATTCTTCATATGTGTCGCTTCCAACCTCAACACCATCTCTATCGTTTTCCAATCTCTTCTTCATCTCTATCACCTTTAAACCCATCTTCGTACCTGTTGCTTCCAATCTCTTCTCTATCAATTCCACTTAATTCTTCATATCTGTCGCTTCTAAAGTCGCCATCTCTGTTGTTTCCAATTTCTTCTTCATCTCTATCGCTTCCAACCACTTCCGTCATCTTTGTCGCTTCCAACCACTTCTTCATTTTTATCGCCTTTAAACACTTTTCCTGTTGCTTCAACCTGTTGTCGCTTCCAATAATTCTTCATCTTCTTCTTCATAACTGTCGCTAACAACATCTTTCCAATTTCTTCCCGATTTCAGTCTCTATCGCCTACATCATTTCTTCATATCTGTCGCTTCCAATTTCTTCTACATGTCTGTCGCTTCAGACCTCTTCTTCATCTCTGTCGCTTCTAACCTCTTCTGTGTCTCTGTCGCTTCCAGTTTCTTCTTCATCTCTGTCGCTTGCAATCTATTCTTTAACTCTGTCGCTTCTAATCTCTATCTTTTCTCTATCTCCGAGTCCCAAGCCATTAACGCAGGCATCCCCCAGATCCGTATCGATCAAACCTTCTTCCTACATTACATAAATGATCTGCGTAACTGTATATGTCGATCATTTGCAAATAGCTCTGCAGGTGGTACCCCTCGCTCCAAATCCTTGGATGACCAGATCTTGTTGACAGCTGCTCTCTTCTCTGACCTAGCTCTAACAGCTCAGTAGCTGAAAATTGGCTGATCACATTCAGTTCATCGAAAACTAAGCTAGTGACATTCCACCATCGCCGATCAGATGGAGAACATTCAACAATCACGATGAACGGATGTTCCCTCAAAGAGACATTTGCCTCGAGCGCCTATTGAGACACAAGCTCAGCTGAGACATCAAATGTATCTCGTACATACGCTCCACCCGAAAAGATGCTGGCAAAATGGTTGGTTCCAGATATATAGATAGATATGAACAGACTGGGAAAGATAAATATATATGAATATATATATATATATATATATATATATATATATATATATATATATATATATATATATAAATGAACATAGAAGTCAACACGAGTGCTGTTATTTTTCTCGGCCGAGAAAATAACAGCACTCATGGCCTGACGATTGCATCTAGCATGAAACAGACTGTCGCCGCTAAGTGTTGATTTCTATGTTCACTTTTATATTTACACACGGTCTATCTCTGATATTGAGCACTTTATCCTATAAATATAGGACATCTTTAGACTAAATGCAATCGTCAGGCCTGATCTTGCATCTAGAGACTGTCGCCTCTAAGTGTTGACTTATATGTTCCTTTTATATTTATATTTATATATAATTATTTATTTAAAAAATAATTCCTTCGCTACATAAGAGTTCCCATGTTTCAAAACAAGAGCCGAAAACTTCAATATAATTATTTGAATTAAATTGAATTAAAGTACCAAGTTCTGTTCTATCTTCAAGCGAAATTTTTGGGAATAACTAATTATTGTTTTTTTACGCATATTCATTATTAAAATTAAAATTACTATGGTAACGGCTAGAGCAATTATTTAAAAAAAAAAGTGGTGCTTAAGGGTTAATAATTTGTATCAATATCTCAGTTACATTCAAAGAGGTCAAGTCAGGGTAAGGTTAAGGTGTCTAAATTTAACATCGTCTAGTCTGGTTAACCGTTAAATGTCTATGGAGATTTTTTTTAAATAATAACAAAAATACTAAAGAACTTTGGATTATTTACCTAACGAGTTCTTTCCTATTTTCTATATATTTTCACACACACACAAACACATATATATATATATATATATATATATATATATATATATATATATATATATATATATATATATATATATATATATATATATATATTTCAGTCTGTTCATATCTATTTATTTATTTATGTTCATACCTATCTATCTATCTCAGTATGTTCATATGTATCTATCTACCTATATCAGTCTGTTCATATCTCTCTCTCAATATGTTCACACTTATCTAAGTATGTTCATATCTATCTACCTATGTCAGTCTGTTCATAACTCTCTCTTTCTCTCTCTCACGCAGTATGTTCACATCTATCTATATCAGTATGTTCATATATATCTATCGAACTCAGTCTGTTCATAGCTCTCTATCTCTCACAGTATGTTCACATCTATCTATCTATCTATCTATCTATCTATCTATCTATCTATCTATCTATCTAAGCCTATTAATTATCACTCTATATATTTATCTATGTATCCAATATCAGGTATTCATTATTTAAATGTAGGCTGAGGAAGTATTGGCTTTATGAGAAGAAATGTGAAAATTGAAGCAGAAAAAACAATGCCAAAAACAAAAACTGCTTATTTTTTTTCTTCTTCTTCAAACAAACCATAAAATAGTTAAACAGGAAAAGGGAATTGTTGGGAAAAAGGGCAGTAAAGCGAAAGCTGAAATGAAAAAGATTCTTACAGAACAGAAAGGAAGGGAAAAAAATGAAATTGTAGCATTTAAAGTGAAAGTGAAAGAAGAAATAAAAGGGGAAACTAATTCGAAAAAATAAACAATATAAGGAAAAATAAGGAACGTGAATTTAAAAGAGGCACAGAAATCGATGAAAATAGAAAACATGGTGGAAAAAAGGAAAGCGTCTCATTTTGTGGCGGTTCAAGGCGTGGTAGGGTAGAATTTAGACTGTGGGGGACTGTGAAAAGAAGGTGTAGAGAAGGGTCTGAGGTGAGACGGTTGAGAACGCATTTGTAAGCGGAGGAAGATGGGACGGGAGGGTGCTTTAAGGGCTGGGGTTTCAGGCAATGTTATTCCGGATGAAAACCCGGGAACGGTTGTGGAATGGAAAGGAAGGGGGTGAATTAAAAAGAAGAATGAGAAAGAAAGAAAGAAAGAAAGAAAGAAAGAAAGAAAGAAAGAAAGAAAGAAAGAAAGAAAAGGGGAAATTGAAAGAAGGAGGAGGGAAAAGTTGGAAGAAAGAAAGAAAGAATGGAGGAACGTAAGATTCAAGACGGGAATAAAAAATGACAAAGGGAGATAAATAATGGATTATTAAAAAAGAAAAGGATTACGCTAGCTATATATATATATATATATGTATATATATATATATATATATATATATACATACCTCTCTCTCTCCTTTTATTTATATATATATATATATATAAGGAGAGAGAGAGGGAGAAAGGGTAGATATTAATGGCTAAGATAAACTGAGTGAAGCAGGTATATACGAAGAAACTAAATGTAGATCGATTAGACCAATATAGGTGCAGATTCAGACAAATATGGAAAGAGATAGATAGATAGATAGATAGGTAGATAGATAGATAGATAGATAGATAGATAGATAGATACGAAAAGAGAGAATCGTAGATCAAGGAAAGACGTGAAAATATTGAATTGGTTTCGGAATTGAATAGGCTGAAAAAAAAAGTGGGGAACAAACGAGCTAATGTGTTAGAGCGAGAGGGAGAAAAGGGGAAAAGCAAACGAACGAAAGAAGACTGGAGAGACGAGACACTCGGAGAAAGCAGACAACTAAGGGAGATAATAAAAGGTCGACGTCATGGAATGCAAAAAAAAAAAAAAAGGAAAATTTAGCAAGAGCCGGAGAATATTGCGTGTGGAATACCGGCAGATTTCAAACCCTGATTATTGGTCGTTCTGGAGTAAGGGTGTGGGATCTGGGATTGGGCAGGTTGTTACATTCATTACTCGGGCCTAAATCTTGGAATGTGACAACAGCAGCAGGTTCAGTCCGACAACCCGATCTTTTCTTTGCCGATTGACAGAGTCAGTGGCGGTCGTGGCGGACGCGTCTGTGTCGGTGGCGGACGTAGGGTTAATTCTTCCGGGCCTGTTTGTAAGTCTCCTACTGATTCTATAAGAAACAGACCCCCCCCCCCCGCTACAAATACACACATACACACACACACATAGGGTTCAGGGGGTGTTTGATGCTAAAAAAGGGCATTATTTTCTTCTTCATCTTTTTTTCGGGGTCGTTTCTCTTGTCTTATTTCTGTTCTCTATCCAACTTTCTTCTCTCCTTTTTTCATGCTTTCTTTGTCTCTTTTTTCTCTTCTTTCTTTCTTTTTTACTTGTTTTCCATGTCTTCCTTCTTTACGTTCTTTCTTTGTTTTGTTACTTTATTTTTCCTTCTTTCTTTCTTTCTTTCTTTTTCTTTCTTTTTCTTTCTTTCTTTTTGTTTATTTGTTACTTTCTTTTTCTTCCTTTCATCCGTTCGTTCGTTCGTTCTTTCATTTTTTTTCTTTTACACTTCGCTAATTTGTTTGATTGTTTCTGTCTTTCTTTGTCAGTTCACAATTCTTTATTTTCATTCATCTTTTTCTCCTTAGAATATTTTCCTTTCTTCCATCCTTCCTTTGTCTGTTTCTTTCTTTCTTTCTTTTACATATCCAATCTTTCTATCATTTACACATTTCTTTCTTTCTTTCTTTCTTTCTTTATTTATTTATTTATTTATTTATTTGCCAATTCGCAATTCCTTATTTTTATTCATCTTTTTTCTCCTTACAATATTTTCTTTCTTTCCTTCCTTTTATACCTCCCTAATTTCTTTCTTTCTTTCTTTGTCAATTCGCAATTCTTTATTTTCATTCATCGTTTTTCTCCACAGGATATTTTTTTCCTTCCTTCCTTCCTTCCTTCCTTCCTTCCTTCCTTCCTTCCTTCCTTCCTTCCTTTTATTCTTGTCATTGTAAGCGTCTTTTCATTTATTTCTTTTTCTCTCTTAATTCCTTTTCGCTTTACTTTTCTACTGCTTTTTTTTCCTCTCATTTATTCACCTGACTTTTTATTCTTCTTTTTCATATTTATTTCTATTTTTTCTTCTCCTTTTTCTGTCGCTAATTTACTTCGCAATTCTCGTTTTTTAATTTACCATAATTTTTTCTTTTACTAGTCTTTCTTCCTTCATTTTTTTTTTTTTTTTTGTTGTTCTTTTCTCATTTTTTGTGTCTTTCGTCTTTGAGTTAGCATCTTTTTTCCTTTTTATCTTTTTGTTTTATATTCTTCATTCTTCCTTATTTACTAAGACAGTTTAAACGACGCAAGATTTTTTTTTAATAAAAAGGAGAAATACAGACTCTTGCATTTTGCATACATTCATTATGATAAGGAGTAGGACGCCTCTTGCCTACAGACACGCAAGTATCCCTTGAGCATGTAGGCATCACAGAAAAAATCGAAGACGATCGAGGTAAAATTAACTGTACAACATCCACAGAGTGTTTCGATATCTAATAAGCTTAAATTAGAAGAAAAGAGGGCCAGATGTAAATTAAGGTAGAGTGATTGTATAGACAACAATCTTTCAATAAGACAGAGCATAACTTAAAAATCATTCCATCTCATGGATTTTTTTTTTATCGAACGTTGACCACTAGCGATATACACCACAATGTAATCTATCAAACAGGACTTCACGTGTTTTTTATTGCTTTTTTTTTTGTTACTTTTTTTTCGGCAAGTGGGGCTCATCTATAATCTGCAGACGACCAACTGTGGTAAAAAGCGGCTATATGGCGTCCATTACAAGGAGCAACAATTTTCAATTTTCATAGATGATATTGAAATTAAACATTTTCCTTCCTTTTTGTTTCTTCTTCTTCTTCTTCTTCTTCTTCATTCATTCATTCATCCATTTCGTTTATTTTCCTTCTTTTCCTTGGAATTCAGCTGCACTTCTTTCCTTCTTTCTTTCTTTCTTTCTTTCTTTCATATGGTTCTTTCTTTCTTTCTTTCTTTCATTCTTTCTTTCATTCTTTCTTTCTTTCTTACGGTTCTTTCTTACGGTTCTTTCTTTCTTTCTTTCTTTCTTTCTTTCTGTTTTTGTTTATTTTTCCATTTTTTCGCTTTCTCGTCCACCTTTTCTCTTTCTGTTGTATCTGTTTTTCGTAATTTCTTTATTTTTCTATTTTTTTTTTTTTTTTTGTTAACCGACATTTCTCTTCAGCTTAACTTTCATGCTTTTTCTCTTCAACTTTTCCATTTCTCATTCTATTAAATCTTTTTCCTTTCTTTATTTCCATTTCTTTTTTGTCTTTGATATTTTTTTTAATAATTTCGCCCCAAGCAAAGCGATGATACCCCTATCACGCAGGGAGTTGCCGGGAGTGAAAGAATTTAGAGAGGAGAAGTGAGACGAAAGAACGCTAAAAGAACAGGTTTCAGGAAAACACAAGCTGGCGTTTGGCGTTGCGTTTAAGTTTTTGATGAGTGTAGGTGGCAGGGAAGCAAGAAATCCGAGGGGGAGTTCTGTAGCAGAGATGTGTAAGTAAAAAAAAAAAACTATTAGAATCTAGCTAGTTCAATAGTAAAACGATGAGACCTAATTGCCAATCGAGTAGCATGCGTAAATCCGTGCAGTCGAGGCCCTAAGGGGGAAAGCTCATCAGAACAATTGCCATGAAAAAGGAAGGAAGCTATGTCACGTCGGTGAAAAAGTGACGGAAGTTGAGATGCCAGGTCAGGATCGATTACATTACAGATTCTTCTTTGGATTTTGTCAAGAATCTCGAGATGTGAAGCAAGGCCACAAAATCAGATATGGCCGAAATATAAAATGCACGGAAGAGATGTGTTTTATCTTTCTTTTCTTTTTACTTTTCTTTTCTTACTTTTTCCTTAGTCGTCCAAATTTTCTCTTCGTCTTTTTCTTTCATTCGTTTTCTTCTTTTCTTTTTCTTTCTCTTTCTCTTTCTCTTTCTCTTTCTTGATCATCTTTTCTCATTCTGGCAACCGTCTTTCTTTTTTTCTTTCTTTCTTCTTCCATTTTTCGTTCACAGTTTCTCTTTGTGCTATTTCTTTCTTATACATTTCTTTCTTCTTCCATTTGTCATCCACTTCTTTTATATCTTTTTTTTTCCTTTTCTTTCCTCTTTTCTTTCTTTTCTTTCGTTTTCTCATTATTGGCCATTTTTTTCTCTTTCTGTTAACTGTTTTCTTTCTTTTTTCTATTTCTCTTTATCGTCCATCATTTCCTTCTTTTTCTTTCATATCTTTTTTATATCTTTTTCTTTTCTTTTTTTCTTTCTTTTCCTTTTTTCTTTCTTTTCTTTTATTTTCTATTTATTGTCTTTTTTTCTCTCTACTTCTATGCTTAAAAAATCGGCGATCGGAATTCATATTGTTAAATTAGTGATTTTCTAGGCAAACGGCCATTGCAAATAACATTTCAAGAATTTATTTTTATTATTCATTTAAGTACTCTTTGTTACCGTTTTTGTTGTTGTTGTTGTTGTTTTATTGTTTTTTGTTTTTTTTTCATTTTCTTTTTATTTTCTTCCTATTTATTCCTAACCACGATTGAAAATATTTATCTAAGACGAGTGTAGGTTTTTAATACTTGATGCCATAAACAAATATAAGCAAAGTTATACAAGGGAAAGCAGAAATATCGACAGTTTGGAAAGAAACAAGCAAGGAGGAGGGTATTAAGAAAGAAAGAAAGAAAGAAAGAAAGAAAGAAAGAAAGAAAGAAAGAAAGAAAGAAAGAAATGAGAGATAAGAGATGGGTGAAAAAGATGAAAGAAAGAAAAAACAAGCAAAGTAGCAACTAGATATTAGAAAAGAAGAAAAAAAAAGCAAGAAGGTAATATGAAAGAAAAAGATGAGAAAATGAAAGAGAGAGAGAGATAAATTGATTGGGAAAGAAAGAAAGAAAGAAAGAAAGAAAGAAAGAAAGAAAGAAAGAAGAATATAGCAAGAAAAGGATAAAAAAATAAAAGAAAAGAAAAACGATGAGCGTAAAGTAAAATAAGAAAGAAAGAAATAAAGAAAGGATGAAAGAAAGACGAGATGGAAGAATAAAGAGATAGATGAAGAATGAAGGAAAAAAAGAAAGAAAGAAAGTAAGAAGAATAAAGAGAGAGATAAAAGATGAGTGAAAAGAAAGAAAGAAAGAAAGAAAGAAAGAAAGAAAGAAAAATTGATTTATTTATTTTACTACTTCAACATGAGCGGATTTTGACTCTCCATTCACTGAAAACAGTCACAACAAAATATTGATTGTTTCCTGAATGCCGTCCAGCACAATTGGTGCACCGGCTTCAAGTAAATTATTTTCTTTTTTTTTTTTAAATCTCATGATGTATTCACCTGTCCATTTGTTGAAATGTATTCTTTAGCCCATGTCCATCCGTCTCTTGCTGTTTGCCTCAGGACATATCGACTTCAGTCCCATCTCGTCTATTAGTCTATCTGTTCATGTCTTTTGTTCATCCCTCTCTCTCCCTTTCTATCTCTCTCTGTTTGTCTGTCGCCATTTCTATCTCTATCTCATAGATAGATAGATAGATAGATAGATAGATAGATAGATAGATAGATAGATTGGAACAGAATGAGATAGATAGATAGATAGATAGATAGATAGATAGATAGATAGATAGATAGATAGATAGATAGATACCTACCCCTTTCAAAAAGGAACGGCATGTGCGTGAGTGGCTTTTTAGATTAGAAGTTGCACAGTTACAAACCCACCCAATCGATATCCCTTCAGTTTACGAAATGATTCTCTCTCTTTCAAATATATATATATATATATATATATGTGTGTGTGTGTGTGGATTTGGGCAGCAGTCTCCTAGTAATACATGTTCCGTTAAAAATGACTGTAAAGGTATTTCTGATTTTTTTTTTTTTTTTGTATTTTTCTTGTATTCGAATAAGATATATCTTTTTTGGAAATAGTGTATGTAGAAAGTGTTGTTTCGTTAGCCTGGTCAGTACCAAGATGCATCGACGCTTGAGATTACCAGATGCCACAAGCTTGAATGTGCGGGTGGTGTAATGGATAGCGATTCGGATTCGGAAATCGGAGAGCCGAGTTCCAATCAGAATCGGGTTTATTATGTTCACTTACGCGCAAATACCCTTAGGAAATGTATGAATCCATCTCTTCTCCCCCAAGCTATGGGTTGATAAGTAGATCTTGTATAAGTAAATCATTATTACTTCTCCCAAAATTATTATTCCTTATATTCATTTACGCACAAATACCTTATATATATATATATATATGCATGTTTCATTAAAAACGACAGACAAGGTACTACGATTAAGCTTTTTACTTAATTTTTCTTGTGTTTAAACAAGTGCTTTCTTTTTTGGTCACAGAGTGTGTAGAAACTGTCCAAATGTTCTATATTGAGGGTTCTAAGAAAAGCGATTACGTGTCTGCTGCAGCAATTATGTTTTAACTTGCATTGCCGTGTTTAAACCGGTCTGAAGAGTACCGTATATGAAAAGGACTGACTCCAGCGAATCATGTCATATATTTTGCCTAAACTTTTTATAAAATCTGAAGTATGTAAAGTCAGCACTTGTAACGACGTTGACTGATGAACATTTGAAATCATTTTCTCTTGGAAATCATTTTCTCTTCTCAGCAATACCAAAACAAATATTAATTATATCTTAAAAGGTAAACGCCTTTTTAACAATTCTTACTAACCTTTTGTGTGGCTTAGTTTGTGAGATTCGGATAGGTGCGTACTTGGTGTGATATAATTATTTTATTGCTATTGTCGCCTTGTTGGATAACTTCTTAGCAAATAAGTATGTTTGTTGTCTTTATTTTTTGTGTATTCAGTGTATTGAACAAAATGCTTATCCGGCCCCTGTTCGTCATTTTTTCAGTTATCTGGCCCTCTGTGAGAAAAGTTTGGTGACTCCTTGAATAGAATCAGTATAAGATCTTATCTTATCAGTATAAGATATGCGAATGCCATTTCGCTTGAATATCTCTTCTGCTTTCAAACTAGATATGTGAAAGAAAATTGGTTAGGGGCTTAAAAGCGCAGCCACCCTACCAAGCAAATACTTAAAGACTACGACCACACATGGTCATGGGACTTATGGAATTGCGCTATTTGGAGGCGCGGTAGAATAATGGATAATGGCTCGGAATGAGAAATCGGAGAGCCGAGTTCGAATTCCAGTTGAATTCATTACGTTCACTTACGTGCTAATATCCTTGGAAAAGGTATGAATCCTCTTGTTCTCGCCACCCCCCAGCTATGGGTAAATAGCAGGACAGACCTGGTTCTATAACCTTGGATGGAAACTAGTCTAATGCAGAAAGAAATGGCAACCTACTGCGGGAAAAAATATGCTTCGTCAGTCCTGTATCGAAAGATACATGATCGCTTAACCGTGTATCACGCATGGCACATAACTGACTGACAATCTAATTGGATTTGCCACTCAACAAGCACCAATTTGTTTATTGTTTTTTATTAAACGTTTTGCTCTAGTTTCAGACTGAAAAGTCTTTCGTACATTTTCGAGTTGATTGATTTTTTTTTCTTAATCATTATCGCCCCAACCAAGGCCGTAAAGCCACAAAGTCAAACACAAGGGTTTCCAGGGTGTGGAAGAATCAAGAACAAGAACATTAATAATGAACCGGAAGAGGAAAGAGTAATCAGGAGGACAGTAAATAGCGTTGACATTGCATTTAAATTTTTGCAGATTAAAGTTGGCTGGAAAGCATGGAGCCGGAAAAGAGTTCCACAGCGAGAAGTGCAAGAGAAGAAACTGTTAGCACAGAATTTACGGCTACATCTAAGCCAGCTCAACTATAAATTGATGAGATCTCGACGCCTGTCTAGTGCTGAGCTTAAATTCAAAAACTCTAGTCTACTATAGCGAAGAGCTCATTCGAACAATTACCGTGAAAGTATTTATAGAAAAGACACAGACAGGCAAGATTAAGGCAGTGGGAAAGTAACTGGAGCTGAGCTGCCAGATGAGGACTAATAATAGTGCAGATTCTTCTTTGGGTCTTATCAAGGAGCTCAAGGGAAATAGCAGGAGCCCCGGACCATATATGGCAGCAATATTCTAAGCATAGACGAATGGTAGACTTTTAGATAGTAGGATAGATCTTGGAGAGAAAAATTGTCTCGCCCGACATAGTGAACTGACTTTCTTAGCAGATGACCTAGCAATGGATTCAATATAGTCTTTCCACTTCATATCAGCAGAGAACGTGATCCTGAGAAGGTGCAAAGAGTCATTTTCCTGGAGGATAGCATCACCCACCTTTCGCTAAAGACTGTCGAATGCAAGCGTTTTCTATCAGTTCTAATCTTCATCTTGAGCTGATGCTCAAAGAATCGGATCAGATACTGATCAGAAAGATGTTCGCCTCGCAAGACTTCCTCCAGTCGCGTCATCCAAATCATCATTCGGGCCGTGGCAAGCAGCGTTAGAAACACCAATCGTTTCACCCCAGAATACGGGAGCGACACATTGTCACACACGTATGTACGATCAATGAGCACGAACTTTTCAGGAGCGATACGAGCCGTCAGCTCGCTGATATGGTCCCATAAGGGGCGGACGCGAAGACAGTGGTAGAAGGGGTGGACCCAAGGACAATGGTAGAAGGGGTGCGAAGCCGTTTCTTCCGGGCCAAAGTCACATCATTCACAGCTGGCAAATCCGCCAAGCCCCATATTAAATTATATGAAAATATATTATTGTTTCTGTAAAGCAACAAACCAGTTCGTTTCCAGTTTGATACGGTGTCGGACATAACGTTAATATCGCCATTTGACCTGTGAACGAATTGAAAAACCACGTGTGTCTGAAACAGATCACATAGCAATGAACGCGTCTAGAAGTATAATTCGTTTAACTGGTGCGATGTTTCCTTTCGAAATAGAACATTTTCTGGTGTGCCTTATGTCACTGATAATTCGAAATAAATTAAATTTAATTGATCTTGACTGGATAGGACAACTTAACCTTTTCGAAATTCATCTCAAATATGTGTTCAATACATTTAACTTGATATTGAAAACGGACAAACTTAAAAATAAGTTTAGTGACGTTTTTTCAAGATGGATTGAGTGCTGTACAAAAATTAAAGCTACTCTGAAATTTAAACCAGATTCTAAGCCAGTTTTTAGACCAAAAACGTCAGTACCCTATGCTGCTCTGAATATGGTTGAAAAATAACTGAAACGTCTTCAGCAAGGTGTAACTTACTCCGTGTGGGTAGCTCCTATTGTAGTTGCTAAAAGGGAAAATGGAAAAGTCCGGATATGTACTGATTACTCGACTGGTTGAAGTTTGGGTGCACGTCAGTATCCACTTCCAGTGCCGGAGGATCTTTTCACAAAACTCAATGGCGGAATTTGCTTTTAAAACGTTGATCTTTTCTTCAACTGGAAGTTGACGAGGAGTCCAAAGAGCTCCTTACTATCAACACCCACAAGGGATTATTCAAATAACCGTTTTAGTTTCGGTGTGAATCCAGCATCAGCCATTTTCCAGCAGATAATGGACGCCATGATGACTGGATTGACAGGAGTTGCAGCATTCATCGATAGCATCATCGTTGCATGAACAAATCAAGATGAACTTGTGTCGATCTGTATCGAACACACATATGTACATACACAAATACAAATCACATACGACGACAAGCATTCAGTGGTTAATATATCACCATTACTTTATTATAGACAATTTAAAAATCGCAGCTATGCGACAATTTTGTGCACTTTTGGGAGAAACGGATCCCAGAAGCTTTCTTAAGTCTCCCCGAAACTCGCTCGCTGATTGATCAATGCCAACCGATCAGATCGTCTGCACGTGAAGAATAATTCTTCCCGCGCAGCGATCTGGAGCCTGTCACGTGATTACATTATCTATAAATAGCAAACACGATTTTGCCTCTCTGTCTCTTTTTTCTCTCTTCTTTCTTTCTCTTCTTGCTGCAAGATGTAGTCCCAAAGAATCCTCGTCTCGACCATGGGCGGTCATACGTTAAATAATATTTCACGCATTCACGTACGTAGGAACTTTTACGAACTTTTCCGACCTTCTCACTCAAACACACCACTCACATGCTGAACATTCCTTATACACTCACATAATCTTTTCTTCCACAGCAAAAATCTTCTGAGAATAGTCATTATAAGAAACTGTTCTAAACATTCTTCCAGTGAACTTTGAAATACAAAAATAATAGTTAAAGAGAGACAACTCTTGTTTTATTCAACTTTTTTTTACTTAAATGCATGCTTTCTTTCACATCAAATATCTTGGGTTTATTTTCGACAAAAATGGTAGACGAGCAGATCCGTAAAATATCATATCCTTGTCGCCCAAAAATAGGTTTATCCCAAATTGTTGGCATGAACGTAAACAAATGAAAATAAAAGACAAGTGTATTGTAACAGATAAGAAGATATCTTTTTATTCATTTACTGCCTCAGAACAGCAAGGATTGTTTGGATTTAAACCATCAATTCCACATACGTGTCAGCTTATCACCATGTTCGATTCAGAAGTGCCACGTTCCCACTCGAGGACAAGGGACGTAAATTCATTTTGTGTTATCGTCCTTTATAGAGGAAGTAAGTAACATCCTCTAACAAAAAGAAAGAAATGACATGTTGTTTTTGTCTTGTTTTTTGTTTAGCGGCGTATCAACACTTCTATGGGTTATTTAATGCCAAAATCTAAATATTTTAAACGCAGTTGTATGCCTTCAACTACAGATAATATATATTCTTGGTAATTTTGCTTTAAATATGTATTGTTGGTAATTTTACCATAAATAGATATTGTTGTTTGGTTGATTTTATTTAGCGGCATATCAACACCTCTATGGGTTATTTAATGCCAAAATCTAAATTAATTTGTATGCCTTCAACTACAGATAAAATATATTTTTGGCAATTTTGCTTTAAAATTGTATTGTTGGTAATTTTACTATATAGATATTGTTGGTTGGTTGATTTTGTTTAACAGCATATCAATACCTCTATGGGTTATTTAATACCGAAATGTAAATTAATTTGAACGCAATTTTTATTTTTATCTTTGGAGATAACAATCTTTTTAGTGACAGAAGTCTTACTAATTAGTATCTGGGGGTGGGCGATTCATTCCTTTCCCAAGAGTATTTGCGCGGAAGTGTATAGTACAAACCTATCTGGATTTGGAACTCGGCTCTCCGATTAACCATTCCGAGCCATTATCATTTACGCCATCTTCACATCCAAGTTTGGAGCACCCGGTATTTCTAAACGATTACCCATATAGGTACTGACCAGGTTCGACGTTGCTTAACTTCAGAGATCGTACGAGAACCGGTCTTTCGACGTGATGTGACCGTAAGCCGAAATGAAAAGATAAAAGTAAAAGACGGAAAGCAAAAGAAAGAAAGAAACAAGGGAATTTTAAACATAAGAGAAAGTTTATAAGAAAGAAAGAAAGAAAGAAAGAAAGAAAGAAAGAATCGACAGGTTAAAAGAAAAGATGAAAGGCAAGAAAGAGAAAGAAAAGAAACAACCGAATTTTGAATGAGAACGAAAATTCATAAGAAAAAGAAAAAGTAAAACTCCTTCGTCATAATTCATAATTCTCCTCTTAGAAGGTTTACTCTTCCAAGGCTAAATAGCTTAGTCTACCATAGTATTTTACCCATAGATAGAGTGAAATCGAAGAGCCGAGTTCAAAACCCGGCCTTTCTCGCTGCATTCACATAAGCACAAATTCCTCAGGATCAGACATAAATTGATCTCTACTCTCTCAACTTGGGTCACGTAACAGAAGCAGCCTGGTCTCTCTAGTCTTGAGGGGCTGCCGGGCTAGAAGGAGGAAGACTCTAAATTCAAAACCGTGGAGAATCTAACGGAAAATTAGATTATCCATTATCTTTCCTAACAATGCATGGTAATTCACAGATAATAAAGAGAAAGAAATTATGGAGAATCATCTAGGTCCTGAAGGGATGTGTCATTTAACAAGCGAAAAATAAAAGGTAGATGAAAGAGATTCTTTCTTTTCTCAAGGGCATTTTTGAAAGCAAAGGTATCGGTCGAGAATTGAACGCGGCCCATCGATTCCATTTCTCACGATGATAACAGAGTAATGAACTTTCTCAGACATATCTGAAAAAGGTGTGGCTGTGTGCGCGTGTGTGTTTCTGATTGGGGGGGGGTAAACAGGTAAATTGACCTTTCATCATTTTCATTACATGTATATCCGTTCGGTTTCAAATCACTACGAACATTGACATTTACGTCGGCCACACACGTAGTGTTCTGATGTTTGTTTCTGTTCGAAAAAATTTAGAACTCTTTAGGATGTATAATGACAGCAAGATAGATAGATAGATAGATAGATAGATAGAAGGAACAGACTGAGATAGATAGATAGATAGATAGAGATAGATAGATAGATATAGTGTGATAGATAGGCATGAACACATACATAGATATAAATAGAATGCGATAGGCATGAACAAACAGACAGACAGATAGATAGATAGATAGATAGATAGATAGATAGATAGATAGATAGATAGATAGATACGAATAGAGTGTGACCGATAGGCATGAACACATCCATAGATATAAACAGAATGCGATAGGCATGAACAGATAGATAGATAGATAGATAGATAGATAGATAGATAGATAGATAGATAGATAGATATGAAAAGAGTGTGACAGATAGGTATGAACACATACATAGATATAAATAGAATGCGATAGGCATGAACAGACAGATAGATAGATAGATAGATAGATAGATAGATAGAAGCAACAGACTGAGATAGATAGATAGATAGATAGATAGATAGATAGATGAATAGATATAGAGTGTGATAGAATGGCATGAACATATACATAGATATAAACAGAATTCGATAGGCATGAACAGACAGACAGACAGATAGATAGATAGATAGATAGATAGATAGATGGATAGATAGATAGATGCGAATAGGTGTGACCGATGGGCATGAACACATCCATAGATATAAACAGAATGCGATAGGCATGAACAGATAGATAGATAGATAGATAGATAGATGGAGATAGATGGATAGATAGATATGAAAAGAAAGTGTGACAGATGGGTATGAACACATACATAGATATAAATAGAATGCGATAGGCATGAACAGACAGATAGATAGATAGATAGATAGATAGATAGATAGATAGATAGATAGATAGAAGGAACAGACTGAGATAGATAGATAGATAGATAGATAGATAGATAGATAGATAGATATAGAGTGTGATAGATAGGCATGAACATATACATAGATATAAACAGAATTCGATAGGCATGAACAGACAGACAGACAGATAGATAGATAGATAGATAGATAGATAGATAGATAGATAGATACGAATAGAGTGTGACCGATAGGCATGAACACATACATAGATATAAATACAATGCGATAGGCATGAACAGACAGATAGATAGATAAGATAGATAGATGTATGGACTGACAAATCTGATATCGATATTTCAAAGAAAAATTAATATGCATATTAATATAACAGAAATATACGAATAAAGATAGTTACTTAAAAAAAGATATTATATATATATATATATATATATATATATATATATATATAATGATAAAATTATAGTTTTAATGTATGCTATATTTATTACTAAATGTGTTGGTTATCAAAAGGATAAAGCGTATAAAAAAATTAAAAGGTCAACATGACCTGAAGATTACGTTTAAGCATGGAACAAACATTCGCCGCTTAGCGTTGACCTCAGTGATCACCTTAATATATATATATATATATATATATATATATATATATATATATATATATATATATATATATAATTTATTCGAAAATTATAACATATATTTATAAAATCACTACAAAAATAGCCATTTTGTTTCAACATTTCTGGTGTCTTATCAAGTGATGGTGTTGAATGTAGAATAAAGGGTCTGTAAAGGTTCAAATCGACCAAACACCCCTCACTAGGGGAAACGCCTTTATATAAGCTGCCATGACCAATCAAAAACATGTAATTCTCTATATGTCCCTTGTTATTTATGTCTTGATTAAAAATTTGAAATCATTAGATTTTAAAACAAGATCCATCTCTTAAATCAAAGGAAGGAACTCATTGTTAACTATAAACATAGCTATAAATTTAACTTAATATAGGGATAGTAATATTTTTGACGATATTGGCAATGTTACTGTAAGTTTAGTATGTTATTACTTTTATTATATGACAATACTCTTATGTACATATATGCAGGTATACGTATATTATGTTGTTTGTGTCTGCACATGTGTGTTTATTTTTTATAGATGTATATATATGTGTGTGAACTTTCATAAATATATATATATATGTGTGTGTGTGTGTGTGTGTGTGTGTGTGTGTGTGTGTGTGTGTGTGTGTGCGTGTGTAAAGAGCCAGGAAAACCTACCTAGGTTTCACCTAAACGGATCTTCAGGGTAAGCTGAATATGCGTGTATATAGTTATAATTGCACGTACTTGTGTACGTGTGTATATGCTTATGTGTATGTGTGTGTGTGTGTAGGTATATATATCTATATATATATGTGTGTGAATGTGTGTATGTTTGCGTGTATGTATGTATATATGAATATATTTGTACTTGTAGTTATATGTTTGTATATATGTGTTTGTATTGATGGCTGTTATATATGTGCTTGTTTATATATTTATTTGCTTGTATATGTATAGTTGCGTAAGCTTATGTGTGTGTGTGTGCGTGTGTGTGTGTATCTTTGTACATATATCTGTATATGTGTATGTCTTAGTGTCTTGGAATGTATTATCTATGCTAACTATAATCTACTTTTGTTTGATAGTGCTTTTAAAATTGCTTGTGGACTTAATAATCAATAGTTGTGCTTTGTTACATTTTAATCTTGTATGGACTTTATAGTACTTTATTGTCATTTGGATGATATTGTTAGTATATGTGTAGGTTTATGCATGTATATGCGTATTTATGTGTGTTTGTATATATATATATATGTTTGTATATATATATATATATATATATATATATATATGCATATGTTTGTATATATGTATGGATGTATGTATATGTATATGTGTATATATATGCATGTTTCATTAAAAACGACAGACAAGGTACTACGGTTAAGCTTTTTATTTAATTTTTCTTGTGTTCTGACAAGAGCTTTCTTTTCTGGACAAAGGGTGTGCAAGAACTTTCCAAATGTTTTATATTTCCGAGCGCTTTCGGCTATACCTTTAGCCATTATCAAGGATGATTTGATTTTTCAGCTTAATTGAGTGTGTGCGTTCTGTGTATGTATTAGTGTGTAGTAGGGATGTTTTTAACTTCCGAATACGGTTAGCACATTGTGGCTTTGTTCGTAGTTAATAAGAGTTGGCTTTTTCTTTTTTATTATTAAAGCTTCCATTATTTTTAGTCTTTTTTTTTTTTTGCAGGTGGATGCAGTTAATATGTGTTTTCTATTAGTACGTTTCTAATGGAGTCTGGTAAGTTTGCGTGTGTGTGTTTAAATGGGTTCTAATGGAGCTGTGATCAGATAGGTGTAACGTATGTCGTCTGGATAAGCATGTGGTTGTGTAACCGATGTAATTATTTATGAGTCCGGTTTGATCAGGAACACAGTTTCTTAAGAGGCATTTGAACTCATAGATAATATTCGTTCTTTGCAACTTTGACTTGGCATATTGCTATTTTTGAGTATAAGGTTGGCTGTCTTGAATTTTTTATAATAGATAATAAGTTTGATTTTATGTATATATATATATATATATATATATATATATATATATATATATATATATATAAGTTTGATTTATATGTATATATATGTATATGTATATATGTGCATATGTGTATATATATATATATATATATATATATATATATATATATAAAACTGTCAAAATGACCAAGGGAATTCAGAGCAGCATGAATCCATCCAGCTCTTATCTTAAATAACGACTTAAAAGAGACTATTTGACCAACACAAGGTCTGAACAAAAAACAAAAATTCATGTTAAAAAAATAAAAAAAACAAATGAAAAATACAGACAAATGTTCATTTTCTCCATCAAGACATTCATTTTTGTAGTTCACTGTTACCAGCAAGCAGGATTTTTTTCCTCCTGATGATGACCATGATGGCCGAAACTAGTCGAGGAAACTAAATGAAATAATAATAAAAACGAAAGAATATTAATATACAACCCAGTGTGTCTGAAGATTTAAATTTTTTAATATTTTTTATTGTTCAATATCTATCTATCTATCTATCTATCTATCTATCTATTATATATATATATATATATATATATATATATATATATATATATATATGTATGTATATTATAAATTAATTGATTTAAAATATGTTTTTTTTCGCTACACAGTTCTAACCATGTTTCAAAAATGGAAGCTAAAAGCTTCGAGTTTAATTTTACAATTTATAAGAACACCAGATTATATATCTTACTGTTCTTTCTTTATATATATATATATATATATATATATATATATATATATATATATATATTTATATATACATTTTTTTTATGCTACTGTGTAGGTTGATATATTTATATTTATTTCTGTGTGTTTGTATATATGCATATGGGTATCTGTTTATGTATATGTGTATTTATCTATATGCGTATTTATCTATATGCGTATATATATATATATATATGAGTGTGTGTGTGTGCGCGCGCGTAGGTATTTTTATGTACGTTTCTATTTGTAGTGATGAATATGTGTACACATGCGTATGTATGTATTTTTTTTACCTATTGTTATATATTTGTACTCGTGTATGTGTACTCATGGAATATAAGTATATATGTGATATTTATATATATTTGTGTGTTTATGAGTTTTCTTTTTTATATATTAGATAGTTTTATTTTAAGTGTTATATTTTGCCTGGACATTTGAATTTGGTGTTTCCTTATGTGTGTGTCTGCGTATATATTTATTTTTCTATCCATTTCTATATATTTTAGTATCTTTTTCTTTACGTTGTTCATTGATGAATATTTGTTTTTCAATTCTAACCCTACTAAATTTGATCTATTGAACCTTTTTTATCTATATAACTTTGTCCATATAAGTAATATTTTAATAGTATGTTTGAATTCGTTTACTAACATTTTCAAATTTGAATATTTGTTGGTGTGTATATGTGTGTATCCTTATTAATGAATGTGTGTATGATCGCTTATATATGCCTTTCATTGTATGTATATGTTGTCGTCTTTTTTTTGTTTTTTAAGAGTCGTAGACATCTAATTCCTGTTTCGTTCGTGTTTTTGCGTGTTTATATATCTAAATATGTTTACGTGTTTGTGCATTATAATCTGATTGTGTATGTATTGTATTTTACAAGATGTCACCCTCCCCTGCCCATGTCATCACTTCAAATGTATCTAAGTTGAAACGAAGTTTAGCACAACATTAGATTTTAACGTTTATTCTAACTTAAGTTTTGGTTTTTCGATTAAAACAAAATAGAAAACAAAATATATGTATTTTTCCTCAGTTTCTTCTTTAAATAATTTTATAATATTTTAAATTTAATAGAGATTAAATTTAAAATTTAGAATTGGTAATTTTTAATTTTCAATTTCATAGTAAAATTTAGCATTAATTAGGATGATTTCTATTTTAGTCGAAACCTAACATTAAAGCATTAATTATTATAACCTTAGTTCGTTGTCAATTTTTTTGAATTCTCATATACTTGTATTTTGATTGGTCATTCCAGCTTATGTAACAGTGTTTCCACCATCGAGGGGTGTTTGGTCGATTTGAACGTTTTAAAACTCTTTATTCTACATTCAACACCATCACTTGATAAGACACCAGAAGTGTTGAAATAAAATGGCTATTTTTGTAGTGATTTTATAACATATTTATATTATAATTTTCGAGTAAATTATATTTGCTTTACTCTGTATTGAGCACTCTTCTAAGAATAGTATTTTTTGGCTATCGGAATTTATTCCGTATACATCAATCTTATACTTAGGTATATATATATATATATATATATATATATATATATATATATATATAGAGAGAGAGAGAGAGAGAGAAAGAGAGAAAGAGAGACAGAGATTGAGAGAGAGAAGTGAAAAGATAGATACATACGAAATGCCTAATAGATAGATAGATAGATAGATAGATAGATAGATAGATAGATAGATAGATAGATAGATAAGAACAGACTGAGATAGATAGAGAGAGAGATACGAACAGAATGCGATAGATATGAAGTTTAATATAGATAGATAATGAACAACCTGAGATAGATAGATAGATAGATAGGAACAGAACTTGATAGATAGATAGATAGATAGATAGATAGATAGATAGATAGATAGATAGATAGATAGATAGATAGATAATCTTCCATGTATTTATATGAAAATCAGGTATAAATAGACTGGCCAAGAGATCAATCATACATTTGACATGTGCAGATCATTAAATTGCATGCGTGTGGATATCGGGAAAAGCGATCTGAAAATACGGGCAGATTCACGATGTGTATCTCGACACGAACCCTGAGAATGCGTCTGTAATTACATCTCAGAAACACATGACGATCGTCCAATTGATGGCCTATGCTGCTGAAAAGGCCATATTGTCTAATTCTGTTAACGTCATTAAGCCGTTCGATATATGTAACCAGATCAAATATATCAGTTCAATACGCGCATGCTTATTACATGGACTCTCTTTTCTTACGCATGCGCGTGTTTGTTGGCAAACACATATCCAGAGACAGACACAAGCACACACATATATATTAGGGTGTTCGGTGAGTAAGTATAATTAGGTGCCTAATGCAAGGGGAACTCTTAATAAATGGGCAGTCGGAATTTTTCTTGGTATGCAATAGACGGTGGGTGTTAATGAAATGAGGGAGTCGGAAATCATTTAAAAATCAAAAAGTGCGAAATTTACAGAAAAGATGTGACTTAAAGGAGGTGGGACAAGATACCTAATAACAACTCAAGCTGAAAATCACTGTGTATTTATTTATGACAATTGATATATATATATATATATATATATATATATATATATATATATATATATATATATTGTCAGGATATATATATATATATATATATATATATATATATATATATATATATATATATATATATATATATATATAAAATGAATTAATAATTATCGTAATGAATTAAGTCGACTACCCATGAAAAATTATTACCTGTAGAACAACATTTCCGCCTGGAAAAACATGATTTCAAAACCCATGCCAAATTCACTATAGTTGAGCGAATAGAAAAGTTCAGAGCAGATAACATTAGAAAGATTTTAGAGTTCCATGAAAATAAGTGGATACAACGTCTAAAAACAAAATACCCAGCCGGGCTAAATCATAAATTTAACAATATATAGATAGTAACAATATATAAGTCAACAAATCAAAACGTACCCTCATTTCTCACCCACACAAGACAGACATGCTTACGGAGGTGTGGAGGCCTCACACTTATACACTCACCCACACGAATATACACACATCATACTCACTCACTCCCTAATGAGCCAAATGGTAACACACACCTACAGCAATACACATGCTTACACATATACTCACTCACTCCCTAAGAACCAAATAACACACACACAAACACTAAACAGAGACACATCCCCTCACCAGGTCCAATAAAACTGTCAAACTGACCAGAGAATTGAGAGTAACATGTATCTATCCAGCTCTTATCTCAAATAACAACTTAAAAGAGACTGTTTGACCAACACAAGGAATGTTAAAAGATTCATGTTAAAAAGATAAAAAAAAATAAAAAAAATAAAATAAAAAAAAAAAAACAAATGAAAACTACAGACAAAAGTTCATTTTCTCCAGCAAAAGACATTCATTTCTGTAGTTTAGTGCTACCAGCAAGCAGAAATATTTCTCCTCCCGATGATGGCCATTTCGGTCGAAACTAGTCGAGGAATCTAAATGGAATAATAATAAAAAAACGAAAGAATATTAATCTACAACCCAGTGTGTCTAAAGATTTTAATTTTTTAATAATTTTTAATTTTTTATTTTCTTATTTTTCACATATATATATATATATATATATATATATATATATATATATATATATATATATATATATAATTTAATTTTAAAAAAAAACAGACCACTTTAAGGCTCCATTGTAATAATTTATTTCAACAGAGAATTTTATTTTTCTCAGTCTTCACTTTCAAAAGGTGAAACGAAAAATGAATTTAAAATTTACACTTTTGACGGGCAGTATTAAGCTTATATAAGTTGACATAGAGGGTGGTGAGGGATGGTATGAGAGACATGGTCAAGTTTAGAGAGGGAAGGGAAAGTTTTAAAATTTATTTTTATATTTCTTTTTATTATAAGACTTATAATTGAGGAAGGAGGGGGTAAGGATCAGACGTTGACTTATTTAATCAGTCAACTCAACAGAAATTATATGGGAAATGGAAAACGAGAAAAAAGGGAAAAAGAAAAAAAGAGGAAGTAAAGAGATAAGAGATGTATGTAGGGTTTTTGGAGGAAGAAGAGGGGTAGTGTATACAATAAAATCCAAAATTATCTCATATGGGGAATAGTCTATTTCGGCAGACGAAGATATAGGTCATCTGTCTTATCAACCCCCGGTGTGGAATGAAATTCGTGTCTATACAGTTAGGTAGGAAGTAGAATTTGACCGAGAAAGCTAGAAAAACCGTCGAAAATATCTAAAAAAGTATTTATCCATTTCAATGTTTCAGTCCCTTTAAGAGAATTACCTTCCAACCTCCTGTGACCCCTGTCTCGTGCCTTTCGTCCGACTGAAACATTGACAACAACAACTCTACCCTCCTATTTTAACCCTGTCTAGGATAGAAACCGTGTGTTATCGCAAGGGCACTAGTGCAAACAGAGAGCATCAGCTTCGATCGAATTTGATCCTGGTTTACCAATTCCATTTTGAGGATTGGTTTCCGTTACATCTTTTCAAACGCGCGCACATACGACGTGGTATAGTTATTAGCGAGCATGTCACGCTAGAACAATTACAACTGAGTAATGAGTTCGATCCTCATTGGGTACCCCTTATTTTGGGACTTGCACCACATCTAAGCTAAGCTTTGAAAACTTAGAATACTGACTGCATTCCATGCAGAGAATCAAAACCCTCCTAAATGAGGCCACACCTTTTCTTTTTTTTAATCAATTCACCCCAAGCAAGGCGATAATATCACTAAGATGCAAGGGGCTACTGGACGTGAAAGAGAATGTAAAATATTTTACAAGAAACCGGAAAACTAAATCCTAAACAGGAAGCAAGTGATAAAACTCTACTCTTGTTCAAAATACGGGAGAGATGTTGAACTGGACGAGAGGCAAACCTCAGTTCAGTTATGTACCATGCGTGATACACGTCTAGGCGATCATGTATCTTTCGATACATTACTGACGAGGCAGATGTTTTTCCCGTAGTAGGTAGCTATTTCTTTCTGCGGTAGACCAGTTGCCAACCAAGGCTATAGAACCTGGTCTACCCTACTATTTACCCATTGTCCGTCCATTACCCAGCCTTTGCACCATCTATCTGGCCCATCAAGTGTTGCTCGAGTTTCGTCTGTGAACAAAACTTTAGAGAAGTCAATCTTCATATTGTCCTCGGCCCATTTCACTCAATTTTGAATGTGATTTCTCGTCAACGTAGGCTTCCATACAGGTTTGATTGTTGTTGCTATTTCCCTCAGATACCGACACTGAGTACTTTTAGATACAGTAGGATACCCAATGCGACTGAAAAGCTCTTGACTAGTAAGTCCAGGGTTCTTCGTGGCCTCCCGTTTAAGTCGTGACATGAGACGACGTGAAATAACCCTCGGCTTGCCTGTACCTGCCCTATTGCATACTTGTGTAGGGTCGGCGGTGAACTTTTTCACTGTTTGATGACACCTCCCAATCATTTTAGAAATTTCTAGGGTAGATTTACCTTTTGAGAGTTCTGAGGTGATAGTTTTCTTTTCAGCATTACTTAAAATGCATTTACGGCCCATCTTTTCACTAAATTCTTACACTTTTCTAATAAGTTGGCACGCTCAAATCAGCGTGCTGATAACAAATATGGTGCCAGTTTTTTACATTGCGCAGATCATTACGAAAATTTCAATGATTGCGCAGGTCAGTGTTGCCAACATTGTGTGAAAATTTTGTATGAATTGATTGGACCGTTTTTGAAATAGAAAAAAGTTATCTCGATAATAATTTGGCACGCAGTGTATATATGAATAAAGACAAACGGAGATCATATAGGCACTTTCGTTAATTAGACATTAAATTGAATCACTTGGTGTCCTCCATAGCTTGCCTAGACATTTCGGCTAACCTGATGAATATCTAGGAGCGTTCTTAAATTTATATATATATATATATAAATATATATATATATATATCGAAAATATAGTGCTGGTGTTAATAAAATAATGCTCGATGTAACAAAACAGACCTAATAAGTATATATTAATAAATATACATATCGCTCATCGGTAACACGACTCGAAGTTTCATGCATAATGCAATATGTCTATTTATTAATATATATATATATATATATATATATATATATATATATATATATATATATATATAACAACGAAACAGTCTGTTTTTGATGACGATATTAACTCCCGAAAATAATTAATTCGGTTGAGCACTGTGGGGAGAAAAGCGCGAAATACTGTTGATAATGCAAGACTCTCCAAACTGGACTGAGTTCTCTAGGTCGCTGGCGTGTTTATGATAAAATAAATACGCAAAAATTCCCTTTTCTCACTGGCGTCGACAGCCTAGGGGTTAGAATCTTCGACTGATATCAAATCGATCGAGTTTCGATCCCAGCTTGAAGCGTTCGGATGTCTCGCCACATTGATGAGCTATGAAACAGTCTGTCTGTGGATCATTATGTGTGTGTGTGTGTGTTTGTGTGTAGGGTGCGATGAATAAATTGTCGTGTAAATTACGAAAAAAGAAAAATAACACTGACATCTCATTTTAACAGATATATTTACCAAAATTACACAAAAAATATCTTCAAATATTAAAGAGTAAATTTATTCTATAAATATATATATATATATATATATATAGCTTCAACTCTGGCTTCTAGACGACTTCGCAATTCTTCTGGACGGTCTCCCTTTTTAAGTAGGTGAATGCTGCCATAATCCTTCCCTTCCGTTTATCTTTGTTGTGACAAGGAATTTTGTTAGTCTCGCGCTGAACTTGCGCCCCACTCATAATACTCAAGTGGGTAGCAGTCTGGGGAGTTTTGTGGTCAGATGTAAGGGGTGATGTGGTCGCAGGAATTGTCTGACATCCACGACTGGGTTCTCCTGCTTGTGTGGCATAGTGCAGAATCCTTTTGCCAAATATAGGGTCTTCAGGCAGACACCGTCTTCACCCTGGGCAGCACTACCTCCTCAAGGTACTTGATGTAGACTTCCGTGTTAATTCTGAGACCTTCGCCAACAAATTCGGGAATTCTATTCTTATCAGAACTATCAGAGTGAGTTTTCCGAGCTGTCCTTCCTTCGTAATCACCATTAGATTCATCCAACTCTTTCCGAATCCTCTGCACTGTCCTCAGATTGAAACCCAAACACTCCGAAATGTTCGTATTGCACCTTTCGGCGCGAATACTAAGTAGAATGGCATACCGTTCCCAAATTTCTGGCGGAGTGAATTGCATTCTGGTGCTCTTTTTCTCACAGACGGTGCCCAACCGACCCTACTATAATGAGCAGTCGACAAAATAAAAAAAACAAACAACACGCATGCGCGAAATTAAAAATATAAAAAGGTGACAATTTACCGATCGCACCCTATACATATATATTTTAAGACATTTTATGTTTATACATTCTTTTTTATAGATACAAATATTTAAGTAAATGCTCTGTTTATAATAAACAGTATTAACACAATTTACCGTCCTAAATGTCCGAGAAATTTTCATACAAAATATGCGTCCTCCGACAAGAATCGAATCTGTATCCTATACCGAACCGTCATATAGCCTGATGTGATTTTACTGATTTAGCCACAGAGGAGCGTTTCGATTAGCAAGGTCTATTTTACTGTTTTTAAACTACTTGATGCGTATCCAAATGTAAGCAAATGACGTCAGACGTTATGAAATGGACAAAATCCGACAATTATTTTAAGACATTTTATGTTTATACATCCTTCTTTATAGATACAAATATTTAAATAAATGCTCTGTTTATAATTAAAAAAAAATGGAATATATGCCGGTAAATGTCGTTAATACTGTTTATTATAAAAACAAAGCATTTCCTTAAATATTTGTATCTATAAAAAAGAATGTATAAACATAAAAATGTCTTAAAAATAATTGTCGGACTTTGTCCATTTCATGATATATATATATGTATATATATATATATATATATATATATATGTGTGTGTGTGTGTGTGTGTGTGTGTGTGTGTGTTGTATATATATATATATATATATATATATATATATATATATATATATATACATATGAAATGAGAAAGAGAGAGAGAAGTTTGGAGATAGAGTTACTTGGTTTGCCATTCTCTACTCATGAA